CCCCATTTACGGAGTGGGTGGTTTTTAAAAGTCCCATCCATGTTTTGATTTAAGGAGATTTTCTTTCTTTATTAGAAACAGCTTTTATTTTGTCCTCTTTTTGTCAGCTTCAGTGTGCTGTTGCAGTTTCATGTAAAGCCCCAGTAAAGTAGCTATGTTGCTCATTTAACGTTATTGTAAAATTGTTGTGTGGCTCAGTGGGTTTGGCTTCTGTGTCTGCTCGCAAGGTTATTCGTTTGAATCCTGCATTTGACAGAGTTGGCCGCACCTTTGTTGGGCCCTTGAGCAAGGTCTTTAACTTCCCAAAAATGCTCACTCCTGTATATGTGTGTGTGTGTGTGTGTGTGTGTGTGTGTGTGTACATTGTAGCTTAGTTTTTTTTCCCATCTGCTGTGGGTAGATTCAGAATAAAAAGGTGAAACACATAGACAACAGACTTACAGATGTATGGACAGGGACAATGTGTGGCTTTGTGGGCTAGGACTAATGGGTTAGATACCCATGATCAGTAGGATGGTAGTTAAAATTGCGTAGCTGGCAGACTGATGTCAGTTTTTGACCCTTGAGTAAGGTCCTCCCATTCACTTTAGGGACTCGTTGATCCTGCCTTGATCCTTACTTATATGTAAAAGCGTCTGCTTAATAAATGTAATGTGATGTGGTGCTGCATTGCAGAAAATTATAAATGGGGTCGTGCCTATTTTCATATAAAGATACAGAGGATGTCATTGGTACCATGTCAAGGTGATGCTGATGTAAGGTCCTTACAGTTAGCATAAACGTTTATGTTGCAATTCAATAAAAAAAAAAAACAGGAATTTTACCAACTAGCTTCATAAGTCCCCATCCTTAATTAGCACAGTAAAATATCACTCTACCAGTGATATTTTAGCAATAGCGCTACCTTACTCTTAAAATGTGGTGCAATTGTAACTTATATCCATCCAGTATTGGGTCTCGGTCAGTCTGGAGCCTATCCAAGGATAGTACAACTCAAACCTCAGGAAGGAAGATCATGGATGTGCTGTGCCTTCTCTAAGGAATATTTCAAATTGATATATTTAGACTGTGTGAACTCTTCAGTTAAATTTGATCAAGATGTAACATGGTTCAATTACATTGAACATGGACATAATACACATGTAATCCAGGAATTATTGGTAATACATTTTGAGCAGTTGTTCAGTGGTTTCTAATGAGTTATTAAATATTGCTCTGTCTTTGCATTTACTCTCCTTGTCTTATGTTACCATTCAAATCAATTTTAATTATTTAGCTAATCTTTACCACCACCCAGCTTGTAAATCCTTCTCATGCCTACAGTGTTTTAACCTTAATTTTGGAAAGGATGGAAATGTTGTCCTTTTTGCTGGGATGTGAAACCAATGCAATACTTCTAATTTGTGTATTGTTATAAAACTCAAGATGATTTGTTTGTCCATCCAGTGGCCTGTACCACGAAGCAGGGTTACTGGCTTATCGGGGTAACTTGTCAGATTAAAGGTACCAGAGTTTAAATGGACCTCATATTCGTTCTCTTACATTTTGCCCAGACTACCTTAAATCCGACAAGTTACCCCGATAAGCCAGTAATCCCACTTCGTAGTACAGGTCACAGTACTGCAGCTGGTTAGGTGAATCCTCACATCCTTACCTCAAAACCTGATCTGTGGTGAGAGTCTGGCTTCACCCAGATGGTTCATGATTTTTTTTTTGGAGAATGAGGATAGTCCCCCCCCCCCCCCCATAACTAAGTCTGGATAAGTGTTTCAAAAGCACATTATCTACCCCTTGACCCTGAGCAGATAAGTGTTTAGAAGGTGGATGGACAGATTGATCATTTTAATTCAATCATTTGCTAGAAAAACCATGAACTCATGGTGACTGGAACAGTTGATCTCCGATATACTGCGTTTGACAGAACGCAGAAAAAAACAGATCAAAGCTAATTTACGCTTAGGATCTCCCTGTTTAACACAGAATTTAAGAAAAATCAGCTTTGAGTGGTAATGCAGTGCCAAGGGTATTTGTTTCATAGCCACAAAGTGTTTGGGGTTTGTCAGCCTGGAGGGGAACATCGCCTGCAGAAGCACTGAGGACCCAGTGAATTAGAGGGTACTTTTGAGCATATTCTCAAAGCTCGATTTATCTCTGCGTGTTGCTTGCTCAAAATCCATTTGGTGCTTGGTGTTGTGGTCAGAATGAATGAACTTCTCTGTCTCTGAACAGAAGTGAGATAACGAAATGAAAGCCTCGTCTGTGTTTGAAAAACAGAACCTGAACCAGAATTTGTTCGTTTTGTGTTAAAAATGTTGACATATCACGTTGACATTGGTATAGCTGCTCACTGTCAGAATGTTGCTTAGATTGGTCATTCCCCACTCTTCCTGTAGATCATTTTCATAAACGCAGTGTGAACCTTGCTTTATGAGAACAACTTAGATGGTTATTTGGAGCAAGATAAACATTAACAACGAACCTTTCAGACATTTCAAACTCTGACTTTTGACTCTGTGCTGCCTGATGAACTGGGATCATTAGCAAAATCTTGGTTGTATGAGGTTGCAAAGGGGTTAAAAGCTCAGATGTGGTGATTTATCAGTATATTTTTTTCCTGCATTAATTATATTTATGTAACTGTTTTCACTCGTCACAATTTGTGTCCAGTGTGAAAATGTTTTCAAATGTAACATATCTGTTGATGTAAGTTACAGGTTAATGTGTCGTTAATTGCTTTATCAAACATGTTGATTTATAAAGAATTTCTGATGGAAAAGGTCAGAAGGTTTAGCACTTCTGACTTATTTTAAATAAAAAATATAGATCTGGGGAAAATAGTTTTGTTGAAGAAAAAAAAAACAACAGTGTGACAAACAGTTGTTACGTGTGAAATGGTGTAAAAAATATGTTTGTTTTTTTCTCTCATACCTGCAGATAAATGAATGGGGGGAGGGGAGGGGGGCATAAAACTTACACTGCCAGTACATTGCGCAGGCTTTGCTGTCTACTGCCAATCAGTTAAGTAACCGAGAGGTGGGGCTGTCAATCAGCCACATGCTGTTTTCCCACCCACAATGGCATGTTCAAGCTTCATCACTTTTAAAGAGGCAGCATAAACATGTGCAAATCACAGCACATTGCAGCTCAGCTAAAACGTCAGCATTTAAGATTACCAAATGAAGTGACTACGTTAAAAAGGAACACTATGGAAATTAGAAGGTGTCAAGTCACCTGGAGTGGGGACTTAATGTCACACCAACTATATTCAGTAACAAAGGATATGGTGGCACAAAATAATGTTCCCCAGCGCTGTGGTACTGCATATGAACATTAAGTGTAGAGAGTGATAGGACAAATGTGCAGAAAATAATCAAGGTATGGCAATATTAGCACACGATGTAAATGTAGATATACACTGCTCAAAAAAATTAAAGGAACACTTATTAATCAGAGTATAGCATCAAGTAAACTAAACTTCTTGGATATTCATCTCATCAGTTAAGTAGCAGAGGGGGTTGTTAATCAGTTTCAGCTGCTTTGGTGTTAATGAAATTAACAACAGGTGCACTAGAGGGGCAACAATGAGACGACCCCCAAAACAGGAATGGTTTAACAGGTGGGAGCCACTGACATTTTTCCGTCCTAATCTCTTCTGACTGTTTTTTCACTAGTTTTGCATTTGGCTAAAGTCAGTGTCACTACTGGTAGCATGAAGCGATACCTGGACCCTACAGAGGTTGCACAGGCAGTCCGACTCCTCCAGGATGGCGCATATTGATGTGTCATTGCCAGAAGTTTTGCTGTGTCTCCCAGCACAGTCTCAAGGGCATGGAGGATATTCCATGAGACAGGCAGTTACTCTAGGAGAGATGGACAGGGCCATAGAAGGTCCTTAACCCATCAGCAGGATGAGCACTGCCAGAGCCCTACAAAATGACCTCCAGCAGGCCACTGGTGTGCATGTCTCTGACCAAACAATCAGAAACAGACTTCATGAGGGTGGCCTGAGGGCACGACGTCCTCTAGTGGGCCCTGTGCTCACTGCCCGGCACCGTGGAGCTCGATTGGCATCGAATACCAGGATTGGTAGGTCCGTCACTGGCGCCCTGTGCTTTTCACAGATGAGAGCAGGTTCACCCTGATCACATGTGACAGACGTGAAAGGGTCTGGAGAAGCTGCGGAGAAGATTATGCTGCCTGTAACATTGTTCAGAATGACCGGTTTGGTGGGGGGTCAGTGATGCTCTGGGGAGGCATATCCAAGGAGGGACGTATAGAACCCTACAGGCTAGACAACGGCACCTTGACTGTCATTAGGTATCGGGATGAAATCTTTGGACCCATTGTCAGACCCTACTCTGGAGCAGTGGGTCTTGGGCTCCTCCTGGTGCACGACAATGCCCGGCCTCATGTGGCTAGAGTATGCAGGCAGTTCCTGGAGCATGAAGGGATTGATACCATTGATTGGCCCCCAAGTTCACATGAGCTAAATCCAATGGAACATCTCTGGGACATTATGTTTCGGTCCATCCGACGCCACCAGGTTGCACCTCAGACTGTCCAGGAGCTCAGTGATGCCCTGGTCCAGATCTGGGAGGAGATCCCCCAGGACACCATCTATCATCTCATTAGGAGGATGCCCTGACATTGTTAGGCATGCATACAAGCACATGGGGGGCATACAAACTAATGAGTACGATTTTGAGTTGCTGCAATAAATTTTCAGCAAAATGAACCAGCCTGATGCATCATTTTTTCACTTAGATTTTCGGGGTGTCTTTGAATTCAGCCCTCTGTAAGTTTGTAATTTTCATTTCCATCAAAAAAGGTGGCATCCTTTCACTCTAAACACATCACCCAGTTCATATCAGTATAGATATCCAGCACGATTTTTTCCCCATTGAAATCTGATGCGTTTTCAAAGTGTTCCTTTAATTTTTTTGAGCAGTGTAATTTAGATATAATTTAGTGACATGAATGTTTTCCTTGTGTTTTGTTAGGATATGGACAGACTGGGCCAATGTCTCTGAGTCCTGGTTATGACTCCATTGCCTCTGCTGTGTCTGGCATGATGCACATAACGGGCCCAGAGGTAAGGAAAAGGATAGTTTTGTCTTGGGGCGAAATCTCTGGCTGTATGGGAACAGCCTTGCATATTTTTGGAGGCTCTGTCAATACCTATTAGACAGATGTTACTATCAGTGGAGTTCACTTTCCATGCCCCCTCTTTCTCGGTCAGGACGGAGAACCGGTGAGACCCGGAGTAGCCATGACTGATCTGGCCACGGGACTGTACACACACGGGGCTATTATGGCTGGGCTTTTACAGCGACAGAAGACTGGGAGAGGCCTCCACATCGACTGTAACCTGCTGTCTTCACAGGTAACTAAGTTCATTGGCTGCTGGTTCTAGCAAACGTCCAATCAGAGTTCCAGTGATCTGGCAGAGGAGTATAAAGGTGAGCACGTCCAGGGTTTTGGTGGCCTTATAAATTTTTTTTCTTGGATCTACCTTATGAGTTTTTTCTCCGATTTTTCCAGCTCCTACACACTTCCTTAATAAATTTATTAATCGTTTTAAAATACACTATATGGACAAAAGTATTGTGACACACCTTTTAATCATGGAATTAAGGTGTTTCATGCAGACCCATTGCCACAGAGTTTAAATTCAGTCATCAAGACATACAGTCAGGTTTACAAACATTTGTGAATGATTGGGTCATTCTGAAGAGCTCAATGAATTCAAGTGTAGTACTGTCATAGGATGCCACCTTTTTAATGAGTCAGCTCTTGCAAAGTGGAAGCATTGAGGAACAACAGAAATTCAGCCACGAAGTGGCGTACCATGTAAACCATGCATAAGTCGTCAGTGTTCTATGACTCAAATAATTGCAGAGTTCCAAACTTCCTCTGGCATTAATCCCAGCATAAAAACTGTGTGCTGGAAGCTTCACAGAATGGGCTTCCATAGCAGATGGATATGGACAGACTGGGCCAGCCATCTCACATCACCAAGCGTTTGCTAGAGTGGTGTAAAACACATTGCCACTGAACTCTTGTGCAGCAGAAATGTGTTCTGTGGAGGGAGGAAACATGTTTCTCTGTCTGGCAGTCTGATGGACAAGTCTGGGTTTTGGTGTATGCTAGGAAAATGTCACCTGCTTGACTTCATTGTGCCAACAGTAAAGTCCAATATCAATGCCTAACCACACAAATACTCTACTGGATGAATGCGCAATAATTGGGAGCTGTTCCTAGTCTTGTTTAAATAAGTCCATGTATTTAAGTGCTTCCCTGTTAGTCTTTCCCCAGTTCTGTCATTGACGTCATTACCTGTTTTGCCTCGTGTACCTTGCTGTTCACCCAATAAAACCCTTATCCCCCGATTCTTCGGGTTCTTCTCTTGCTTCCCTGGTATGTGCTCCCTGTGAGGTGTGACACTGTTGGTGTAATGGCCAGGTGTCTCTAATCTTATCTCCATACAGTGCAAGTCATTGTCATGTAGCTACATTTAATATCCATTAATTCCTTCAGTGCTCCGAGAAAACCATGTTTGAAATTAGCTACAGTTATGTGAAAAAATTAGGACACCCATTAAAGTTTTCCCCACTCTCCAATGCAGAATTCCTTAAGCTGTGTGATGTTTGAAGGGTGTCTTGCATACACTTCCTCTTCAAATCACCCCACAGCATCTCAATAGGATTCAGACCTGGGCTTTGACTTGACTATTCCAGAACTCTTTCTTGTAAGCTATTCCTTGGTAGATTTACTGGAATGTTTTTAGTCATTGTCATTTGCATGATTTCCATCCCCATGCTTCACAGTTGGTATGAGGTTATTTTGCTCAAAAGCTGTCTTTGGTTTACACCAAACTGTCCTCTGTTACTATGTCCAAATAATTCAATTTTAGATTAATCTGTCCAAAGCACATTGTTCCAAATGTCCCGGTCTTTGTCTAGGTGGCAAACTTCAGTCATGCCCTGGTATTTTTTTGACAGCAAAGGTTTCCTCCTTACACAGCTCCCATGTAAACCAAACTTGCACAGTCTCTTTCTGATGGTAGATGCATGTACCTTGACATCAACTGTGGCAAGAGCTTCCTGTATGACCTGTGATGACATTTTAGGATTTGTGGAGACTTATTTCAGCATCTTGGCGTCTGCTCTTGGGCTGAACTTGCTAGGACAGCCTGCTCTGGCCATACTGGCAGTTGTTTTAAATGTTCTCCACTTGTAAATTATTCTCCAGACAGTGGAATGGCTGATTCCAAACTGTCTTGAGATCTTTTTATATCCTTCCCAGACTCATATGCATCTACTTGCTTCTTTCTGAAGGCCTCAAATAGCTCTTTGGATCTCACCATGGTGATCCCACTCATTTCAACAATCAAGAGCAAACCAAACTAAATGTCTATGTTATAAATAAGACAGACTCCATCAAAAAGCTCTGTAATAATGTTTTAATCATTTTCACCTGATGTGGTGCACCTGAATCTAACTCTAGGCATTTTAAATAATAATGGATGTGAGGGTGTCCTAACTTTTTCCTAAGTGGAAATTGGCATCATAATTAATTTCTTCTGTTAAATAAGTGAATTTGTTTCTTTTTTTGCATAGGTGATACAGTTGCATCACCTTTATCTACAAATATGATTTGAAAGAAGATTTAATAGTGATATGTTGATATTTCTTAATAAAGAACTAAACATTTAATGGGGTGTCAATTTTTTCACATGACTGTATGTAATAATAAATGTAATTGATTTTGTTATGATAATAGTTGTAATTTAAAAGAAATCCATTTAATAAATGCAAATGTTGAGCATCATCTAATCTTAAAATCCTAAAAAGTTTGAGTTTGATCGAATTTTTCCCATAAGAAATAATGGAAAACCAATTAATTGGTTCCCGGCCCCCCAAAATTACACCTAAATGTGTTTTTTTTTTTTTTTTTGCATTTAAACACAAAATGAACAGGATAAAACAAGAAGAGCTTTTTTTTCTTAATGGATTCCAAAACGATAAAGATCTTATCCCAACATTATCCCTGTCCTGCCCCGATCGTCCGCTCCTTCCGTGTGCCACGCCCCCTCGTTAACCTCGTGTGGGATCGCCATGTGATCAGCTGTTTCTGGTTCTTGTCATTAGTCCTCTGTATTAAGTCTGCGTTTCAGTTTGTTTCCCCAGTCTGGTCATTGGGTGCGTTTGACTTGCTTACAGCACTGACTTAAAGCAACGCATTCTGATCCTGACGCAATGCATTACGGTTAGATGCATTGCGACCTCTCACCCGGCTACACAAACTGGAACTGCCTCCGTGATGACACACCTTTGCCCTTATTGGCGGAAGAGTTTAGTTACATGCATGACGTTTGTATCCCAGGCAGTTCCGATGCGTAATCTGCTGTTTCTCCCAAATATCACGTAAAGCAGTGAGAACTGGTTTTCAGTTAATTTAGCTGGTAAAGTAAAGTTTAAATAAATGACATAAATGCTCTAATAGTACACGTAAGTTAGTGGTTTATTTATTGTTAGTTACTGTAATGTTGCGCTGCTTTATTTGGTTAATCATCCAGTCTGTGAAGAAGGCATTCAATTAAGAATTGCATTGTAGTATGATTCATTTCCTGGCGCGTTCAATTTATATTAGGTCAGCGTTCACAGTTCGACTTCTGATATTCAGATCGAATTCTAGGTCAAACTGGTTTGTTCGACTTTCAAGAAATTCAATTTCTAGTGTGTTCGAGAACCGAGGTACCACTGTACTCTGTGACTTTTGGAAATTTAACGAAAGTTCTTTGTTGGATTACACGAGGACTGAGTGAGTTTTGGTTCCTGGTACTATAACATATGATGAGGAAACCTGACTTTAGGTCATTAGTGGGTTCATCTCAGAGAGGACAACTAATGTTTCTTACAAAATATCAAACCCTAGTTCTTTGCTGTAGGTGTCCTGGTGAAATGCACTGTTGCCTCAAGGTTCTCGGTTTGAGGGTTCGTTCTGTGTTTACATGTTTGCATATCCTGCCCGCGTTATGATGGTTCCCTTTAGGTACTCCTCCCATCATGATTAATTAGTGTCTCTAAATTGCCCTTTAAGCATTGTTTCCCAACCCGGTCCTAGGAGACCCGCATCCAAGTTTTGCTCCATCTCAGTTCCCTGTAGCAAAAACGTGTACTGTCTGAACGTTCCCAAGGACCAAATTGAGAAACACTGCTTTAGAGAAATATTGTATGTATGTGCCCTGTGATGGACTGGCATCCCCACCTTGATGTACCATACCCCTATAACAGTCTGGAAAAGGCTCCAGGCCCCCCAGTGAACCTGACCAGGATAAGTGCTTATAAGATGGATGGTTCTTTACATTTGCTGTGACTTTTCAATGAAGAAAAAATATGCACATATATATATATATATATATATAATGTTTCTTTGCACATAAAACTAGTAGAAAAACCTTCCACTGATACTCTATATTCCTGAGAGGAGGCAAGATGGTAGACAAGGCAATGTAATACCCTTAAAATCAATGGTGTGTTACGGTTTGAAGTTTACACACTTTCTGTCACAGTGTATATTACCAGACGGGATATTGCTGTGATCTTACCAGCGAGTAACGTTAGAAGCTAAACTGAACAAGGCACTTTGGCCGGACATGAGTCAGAGAAAAGACACTGTTGCTCTTAAGGGAATGTTTTATGTCCCAGGCAAACTTTTCTCACATCATAATACAGGACATGCCCTGCCTCACCCTCCCTTTCAGCACATAAATTATCGAGAGCGGGGCCGGCTTAATTAGGCGCCTGGCACTTTTATAATGTTGTTCCAGATTGAACTGGACAGCATGGAGAACACAATCCACTCCAAGGTGCCTTGGGACATGTCACAGAATTCCTGGGTTATGTCCCCGTTGACCACCGCGGCCGGTCTTTCCACGTGTCCTCCCGGTGATCCACAGCACGACGTTGGGAATGGGCCATGGGGATTTATAGAAGCAGGTGGTGCGCTGATTGCGGAAACGGTACTCCCCAGCTTCCAAGTTTTCCCATCCCTAGGAGAGGAACTGCTTTAGCATTCCATCGGCTCCTGATTTTTCCCCTCAGTAAACATACATACATCCATCTTCCCACCATGTATCCTGGTCGGGGTCTTGGGAGGCCCCAGTAACAATGTGATTTTTATCGACTCTACATGAGGAAAAATCGTAACAAGACATTTTGGGGTTGTATAGACTGTATCTAGCTGAAAGTTTAGAGATGCTCAAGGAAACCCACCCAGATATGGGTAAATCATGCAAATTCAGCGCACTAACACACATCCACTCAATGTCCAGTGGCCTGTACTACGAAGCAGGGTTACTGGCTTATCGGGGTAACTTGT